TAAACGGGAGTTCACGAAACTGGAAAGCATCCGTAAAGCAAAGAACACTTTGCTGTCATTTTGTTCTGATGACATTTTGGTCTACAGACAGGGAAAGATCTTCACCAACCGTATATCTGACAAAGGGCTGATATCCACAATATATAAAGAACTCAAGAAATTAAAAAGCAACAAATCAAGTAATCCAATTAAAAATTGGAGAACAGAGCTAAACAGAGAATTCTCAACAGAGGAATATTGAATGGCAGAGAAACACTTAGTTTCTCTGTCCTTAGTCACCAGGGAAATACAAATCAAAATAAGCCTGAGATTTCACCTTACACCCATCAGAATGGATAAGATCAAAAACTCAAGTGACAATACATGCTGTTGTGAATGTAACTTTTACAAACACTTTGGAAATCAATCTGGTGCTTTCTCACACAGTTAGGACTAGCGCTACCTCAAGATCCAGCTATACCACTCTTAGGCATATATCCAAAATATGCTTAAATATACAAAAAGGACATTTGCTCAACCTTGTTCTTTGCAACTTTATTCGTAATAGTCAGAATTTGGAAACAACCCAGATATCTCTCAACTGAGGAATGTATACAGAAATTTTGGTATATTTACACAATGGAATACTGCTCAGCAATTAAAAACGAGCAAATCATGAAATCTTGAGGCAAATGGCGGGAACTAGAAAAGATCATCATGAGTGAGGTATCCCAGAAGCAGACACACATGGCATGTACTCACTTATAAATGGATATTAAAAATATTATATAGGATGAACATACTAAACTCTGTGCACCTAAAGAAGCTAAGCAAGGAGGAGGACCCTGGGTAAGATGATCAATCCTCACTTAGAAAGATAATCAGGAGGTGTTCCAAGATGGAGGTGAACAGAGCGCACCATTTTGGAGAGGCAGAGGATATGAATCTCCGAAATTGGTGAGTGGAGAGACAACTGAAACTAGAATTTGGACTTTTGGGCTTTCTAAAGGAGAGGGGACACCACAGAAGTGTGGAGTGCTTGTAGATTTAGATTGGGCACGGACATCTCTGGGAATGAAATGGGGCGCTTCCCTTGTCCGGGCCTCCTGCGCGGGGAAGCCTGCACACAGCACCAGGTAGCTGAGAGCAAAGCTCACAGCCTGGGGACTAAGACAGCAGAGACAGTGCTCCAGGCCCCTTAACACAGAGGACAGCTGTAACCGCCCACTGAACAACACCCCTTGGACACATGTCCAAGGAGCCATACCCTGGGCCCCACCTAGGGCCCTCTTGCTGAGCTCTGGACCCGCAGAGCATCCCCTCCCCCCTACCCTGCGGGATGCGATCCCACCAAAAGAAGCTCAGCAGAACTCATGTCCCTCCGTAAATCCCGCCCTGCCAGAGCACACCCACCACTGGAAATCACAGGCCCAACCACAGAGTGACAACCACAAAGACTCAGTTCCGCAATACAATCCTTCCTGGATCCCAAATCCGCAAAGCTAGTTGCCTGGGGCCCAAGACAGCAGAGGCAGCACTTCAGGCCCCTCAGCAGCAGCAGAGAGCTGTAACCGCCCACACATCTGAGGAGCCCATGCCCCGCCTAGTGCCCTCTTGCGGAGCTCTGGACCCACAGAGCGTACCTCCCACCACCATCACCACCGAGTCCCACCAGAGTACACGCACCACCAAGGACGCATAAAAGATACCTTCCACCATGACCAAGTAGGCTTCATCCCAGGCATGCAGGGGTGGTTCAATATACGGAAATCCATCAATGTAATCCACCATATAAACAAACTGAAGGAGAAAAACCACATGGTCATCTCCATAGATGCTAAAAAAGCATTTGACAAAATCCAACACCCATTCATGTTTAAAGTCTTGAAGAGATCAGGGATACAAGGAATATACCTAAACATAGTAAAGGCAATATACAGCAAGCCTATAGCTAACGTCAAACTCAACCGAGAGAAACTTAAATTATCCCACTGAAATTAGTGACAATGCAAGGTTGCCCACTCTCTCCATATCTCTTCAACATAGTTCTGGAAGTCCCTGCTAGAGCAATAAGACAGTTGAAGGAGATCAAGGGATACAAATTAGAAAGGAAGAAGTCAAATTATCACTATTTGCAGATGATATGATAGTATAAGTGAGTAACCCTAAAAATTCTACCAAGGAACTCCTACAGCTGATAAACACCTTCGGCAAAGTGGCCGGATACAAAATTAACTCAAAAAAATCAATAGCCCTCGTGTATAAAAAAAGACAAAAGGGCTGAGAAAGAAATTAGGGAAACAACACCCTTCACTATAGCCACAAAAGACATAAAGTACCTTGGTTTAACCCTAACCAAGCAAGTCAAAGACTTGTATGAAAAAAAATTTCAAGTCTCTGAAGAAAGAAATTGAAGAAGATATCAAAAGATGGAAAGATCTCCCATGCTCATGGACTGGTAGGATTAACATAGTAAAAATGGCCATCCTGCCAAAAGCAATCTACAGATTCAATGCAATTCCCATCAAAATACCAACACAATTCTTTACAGACCTTGAAAGAAAATTCTCAACTTCGTATGGAGAAACAAAAACCCAGAATTTCCAAAATGATCCTGTACAACAACAGATCATCTGGAGGCATCTCCATCCCTGAACTCAAGCTGTACTACAGAGCAATAGTAATAAAAACTGCTTGGTACTGGCATAGAAACAGAATAGTAGATCAATGGAACCTAATAGAAGATCCATCTGACCCTAGTTTATCAGGTATCTTCAGGACTGGCTGCATTGTCCTCCTCTGTGGCCTAGCAAGGCTGTTCCTCCCTCAGGCGGTGGGGGGTGGAGGGGAAGTAAAGGAACCAGTCATTTAGTTCATGTTAGAAATAGTTCCTGCTCCCCTTACTAGGGTATCCACTTGGATACTGAGCTGCCATGGGCTACATCTGAGCAGGGGTTCTAGGTTATATCCACATGGTCCTTGGCTGGAGAAACAGTCTCATAGAGGACTCCTTTGTCCTGATATATTTGGTCCTTGTGGAGCTCCTGTCCTCTCCGGGTCATACTAACTCCCCCTTTTATCCTATGATTTCCTGTACTCTACCAATGGTTTGGTTATGAGTCTCAGCATCTACTTTGATACACTGCTAGGTCAAGTCTTTCAGAGGCCCTCTGCAGTAAGCTCCTGTTGTTGTTTTCTGCTCCTGTCCTGTTTCTTGTTTTCTCCTACTTCCCATGTCCATCCCATTTGTCTTTCTAAGTGAGAATTGATCATCTTACCCGGGTCCTCTTTCTTGTTTCTCTTCTTTAGGTGCACATATTTTAGTATATTTATCTTATCTTATAGGACTATATAAGTGAGTATATACCATGTGTATTGTTCTGCTCCTGGGATACCTCACTCAGGATGATCTTTTCTAGATCCTACCGTTTGCCTTTAAATTTTATGATTTCCTTGTTTTTAAATGCTGAGTAGTATTCCATTGTGTAAAGTTGTAACACTGACAAGTGACTTACCTTTTCTCATTTCTAAGAGTTTTTTTCCTACAAACAACTACCAAATTCCAAAGTTCTACTGGCAGAATGGATTGTGGATTTAATATATTAAATATATTAAATTAATATATTGTGGACTTAATATAACCTAAAGTCTAGAAATCATATATTTGCTAATAATTAGTTTGATAAGGTTTTCTACCTTAGTTTCTTCATCTATCGAGTGACAGTAATTGTAACATCTGCATCAAAGACAAGTGCGAACACTTTTACAAAAAAAGTTCAAATTTTTCAAATTCATAACCTTACATTACAATATCTTCTTTCTATTGTGGAAAACACACACACACATATACATATTGATTTCCATTATATAATCAGAAACTCGGTTTCAACAAATATCAGATTTCATTTATACTATTTAGTATATTCTAATATGCCTGGATTGGATAATCCAGTTAAAAGAGATTTAAGACAGAGATTATCAAGTAAACACACAGAAAAATCATAATTTTGGTTCTTAGGACTACTTAAATTTTAGTGCTTAACTTTTTGAAGAAAGGAAAACAGCTTTGATCTATGCTGTTTTATGATTCTTCATATAAACAGAAAGTGGTAGTATGGGAAACATTTTAAAACAAAGACATTTTTTAAAAGGCTTTACTAATTAAGGTGATCAATTTCAGCTAATGTTAGAAAACTATTATTACTGTAGGCAAAATTGGGCTTTCACCTACTTGCTATTTTCTTTTTAAAAGAGCCAATATAATTTGCATTACTGTCATTTGGGGGCTGGAGAGATGGCTCAGAGGGTAAGAGCTCAGTTGCTCTTCCAGAGGTCCTGAGTTCAATTTCCAGCAACCCCATGATGGCTCTCAACCATCTATAATGAGATCCGGTGCCCTCTTCTGGCCTTCAAGCATACATGCAGGTAGAATACTGTATATATAAAAATAAATATTAAAAAGCAATACTATCTGTACATAGATTACAGATAATATCAGTTTAATATTTATTATTTGAGATTATACAATGTGCTTCAATCATATTCATACCTCTTTTGCTCACCCTAACTCTTCCTGGAATCCCTCCAACCGCCCTAAGGCCACTAGTTGAATTACTATTAATGACAGATGACAGGACTAAGAGTTTCTGTTTTCTTTCTGTAATTATATTTATGTACAGAAAACTTAGTAGTGTACATTTAATCCAGTTTAGTTTTGAGTTCTTTAGCTTTTGCCTTTTCCATTTTGGCAATAGGAGCCACAGATTTAGGACTCAGGATATGCCCTCCCCAGTGGCAGTGGATCTCATCGTATCTGTCTCTGTAATTGGTCCTAATAGCCTCCACCAGGTTAGCCAGAGCACCCTTATAAAAATATGGAACACTTCAAGAACAGTCCTCCCCTATTAGTGGACTTGGAAAGGGGCAGGGAGAAGATGAAGGAGGAAAGGTGGGATTGGGTAAGAATGAGGGAGAAGGCTACCACTGGGATACAAAGTAAATAACCTGTGATTAAAAAATAAATTAATTAATTAATTAAAAAAAGAATTTGGGTGTCATCCTTGCACAGGGGCCATGCTAATCTTCTCTGTATCATTCCAATTTTAGTATATGTGCTGCCGAAGCAAGCACAGGACTAAGAGTTCTTAAATATCCAAGTTTTTTTTAGTATTTATTCTTTGATAATTTCACACAGGTAGTTACAGTATTTTGAACATATGTATTTCTCCATCTCCCTCATTTCCCTCCCACTCTTGCCAGACTTCTTTCCTCCAAGTTTACCTCTTTCTTTTTTGTCTCCTCTCCCCCTTTTTGTGATTCACTAAGTTTAATTACAGTTGCTTGTATAAACACAGGTGGGAGGGTATTTACTAGATCATGGGATACTTACCACTGGCTACAGCACTGAATAAAATGACTTTTCCTCTTCCAGTAGTCGTTAACTGTTAATGGTTCTTCAGGGAAGGGTGAGGCCTGAAGAACCCCTCCTATATCCTTAATGGAATATGAAAGGGCCCATTTTGTTTAGTTCTTATACAGGTAACTACATATGCTTTTTATGATAAGGATAAATTTTATCCAACATGTAAGTATTATAAGAAACCTCTATATTCTAAAAATGCAATTCAAATAAGCCATTTACCTGCTTGGTACAGATTTAATGTAATTTAATTTTTGACACAAATGTGGTGAAGCCACAACAGATTTTTTTTTCTCTCTACTTCTGATGTTAAACAACTTGTTTTAAAAGGACTGGTTTGTTTTAACTTTACAAAAGTGCTTCATTAACATCTTCAAAAATTTAATTCTTTTAAAACAAAATTACTGTTTAAGGATTATCAAAACCTGGTTTTAAAATTTTTCTCAAATTCATCTTTGTTGTCACAAAAAGTCATAATGATAGCCATTATATTACAGTTCATGATATTAGACTCTAGTTCTGACATACATTATTTGTCTCCTGTTTGTGTTTTCCTAACTGTGGTGCTTTAACAGGATTGCTATTTTATTTATTGAGGTAGAACTCCCCACATCCATTGATTTTGGCATTATGTCCAGCTTTGGTTTCTGTAATGGTCTCCTTTTGATAACTGGTTACCCAATACAAATACTCAGCCTTGAAACCAAATGCATACAAACAAAAAGAACACAACTCAGTAGGTTATATTTAAGTATTTGGACAAACCTTGTATAACAAAGCAGGAAAACCTTATATAACCTAAAAATTATGTCCAATTCTTTTTTCCAATTTATTTCAATAAACTGAATTAGAAATTATTTACTCTTATGGTTTTAATAAAAATCTACCTAAAAGATTCATGGTTTTGAGTATTTGACACTGAGTTGATTGTCCTGTTTGTTGAGGTTATAGAACTTTAGGAGGTGGAACCTAGCTGAAGGGAGTAGGCTACAGAGGACATACCCTGGGGCCTAGTTCCCTTGGACATGGGCTTTCTGCTTGCTGGTAGGTATCGTGTGAGCAAGCTGCCCAGCAAACTTCCAAAGACACAACACACTCCATTTTACTTATAATGACTTCCCCATCCCAATGGACTACCTCCTCCGAACTGTAGGCCAAAGAAATCCTTTTTCCACTAACTCTTTTCTTTTAGTTATTTGGTCATAAGAAGATAATGTTAACTTAATACATCTAGTTATAGGGTACAGGGTAATTTTGTTAAATTTATTTTTATATACATAAACAATGCTATTTTTACCAATTCATGGATGCATGCAATATATTTTGATCATATGCACCCTCATGTTCCCTCCAAGTACTACCATGTATCTCCCCATACCTTTCTCCTCCCAACTTTATGCATGTCCTCTTTATACATGAGCCACTGATTTCAATTAGCACTGCCCACAAGGCCATCTTCTGGAGCATGGGCAGTATATTTTGTTAATTCCTCTAAGAAAACTTTGATTATGGTGTATAATCCTTTCTTATCCTGTATCACACTCCTCAGTGAGGGTAACCTTTAAAGTCACACTACAAAATTTTAGAAAAACTTTCAGTACTATATAGTACCAAATCACTTATTCTGCTCCCTCAGTATATTACCAAAACCTTGGGTTGCAGGTAAGATAAACTAAGATGTCTCCTATTAATAAAGAAACATTAAGTGGTCTTCATGAACAACTTTTCTCTATAAGGAGCTTAATAGAATGTTGGTATTTTTAATACTCTGGTTATTTCTCCACCTCATTTTTTAAAGTTTTTTTTTCTTTATAAAGATTTTTTTTTATTATGCATACAATGTCTGCCTATATGTTTACCTGCATGCCAGAAGAGGGCACCAGATCTCATTATAGATGGCTGAGAGCCATCATGTGGTTGCTGGGAATTGAACTCAGGATCTCCAAATGAACCAGCTTTCCAGGCCCATTTTTCTACATCTTTAGATAAGACCATTTTACTATAGATTTGCATCACAATTTTACCTTCATATCCAATGATACTTTCTCTGTGAATCAGCTAGCATTCCTTCTATTCAACTCCTTTTCCATTTTGCTACTGTTCAGACTTAGGAAAAAAATTATACAAAACAAAAATTCTATGGGGTAAAGAATATAAGATACATAAACAAAATAAGACCTAAAGAAAGTTTATGTTAGTATGAAAGAACAACTCTACTCTTGTATACCCTGTTCTTGTTATGTAAATGTTTCATTCACTTATTGTTAAGGTGAATCGGGCTACTTTGTCTAGAGGATAGGGTTTCACATGAAAAGAAAACTTATGTACTACTACAATTCTGACAAACCACCTGGGATGCCTTTATAGAGAGAAAACTGGGAGTGACACTCTGACCATTGACAACAGAAAGGATTAAAACAACTTCTACGTGGGATGTTCTGGCAGTATGTTTTCTGTCCTTGTAATGATATCCATTGAACTCTCGAGGATTCTGCCTCTACCTCCAACTCTTAAATCTTACAATCAGAACACTTTTGACAAAGAATCATTGATCTTCATTGAAATTTTAAAAAGCTACTACATGTCAAAGGACACCACTGATCAAACTATAACATAAACACGAATGAGTGTTCACTGCAGATTTGTAACTGATACAATTAAGACGCAATATAGATACTTATGAAAAATAAAATGTGCTTTGACTGAATGGAATATCCTTAAGCTACAAAAAAATGAATGAATTAATGAACATATCTAAATCAACACACTGCATATTCTGAAGTGATTCTTGAGTTTTGTGCTATATTAATTGTATTTCAATGAAAAAAAATAAATGCTTTTCTGAACACTAAGCAAAGATATTAATATTCAACTAAACAAAAGTTTTTGAAATATCACAAACCATAATTATCTTCGTGGAACTTTTTTATTATGATAAATCCAGCAAAACTTTGTGCGTACACATATAATTAAAACTGCCCTCCTGAAATAGACATTCAAATTTCTTCAAAAAATGAAATTAAAATTTTATATTTTTTCCAAGGTACTAATAAAGTTATATTTGGTAATGGCAATTCTAATTCTTACTATTACCTGAAAATAGTTGACCTTCTTTATAAAAGCAACCTAGAGAACTACAGCAAAGTTGTACCAAACTTTTTCTTTTGAAATTTTCCTACTTTGCAAAATTATCACGTATAAGAATAAAATTGAAACTCAAAGATTTAATACATAACTTACACACAGTGAAATTCACAAAATTCCAAGTATACATTTTATATTTTGCACTACTATAATCACAAAATGTATAGAGGTGTCATGTTAGGTATTTTGCAACTAATAACCTGTATGATGATGTTCCAAGATTGAATGATGCTAAAGAAAAGCACTGTTTATAAAATATCTGATAAAAATATTTATCTCTATTAACATTACAACAGGAAGGTACATATTACCAAATTATGATCTTACACAGGGCAGTTTTAGGCAATACTCAGAGACTCCTCTTTTTCTCCATCTTGTTTCAATTCTTTCTTTTCAGCTTCGTTTTCAGCTTCCACCTTGTTTTCATCATTTCCTTCACCAACAAACTCTTTTACTTTTTCTTCTTTCTCCTTTCTATCTTCATCTTTTCCATCATCTTTATTCTTTCCACCTTCCTCATGCTGACCTTCCTTTCCATCTTCCTTTTCTTCTTTGCATTTTCCACTTTCCTTTTCCTCTTTCTGCTCTTTTACTTCTTCCTCTACTTTAACTTTCTCATCTTTCTCTTCTTCCTTTTCCCCATCTTCTTTTTTGCCATTTTCTTTTTCATTGTCTCCTTTCTCTTCATCATGTTTGTCTTCTTTTACATCTTCGATCTCTGCTGCACCTGCTTTCTCTTCTAGGATATCTTCCCCTTTTCCATCTTCCACCTCCTCACCTTTATCTTTGTCTTCTTTTTCATCTTCATGTTTCTCAATATTTTGAATGTTTTCTTCTAGCTCATCATCTTTTTCTTCTGCTGCCACTTCTTTCTTTTCTCCTCCCTCTTCTTCAGTGGCTTCATTCATCTGTTCTTTTACTTCTTCAGCTTCCATTTTAGGAATGGGTACCTAGATATAATGAGGGGAAAAAGTATTAAATTTAGAACTACTTTCTCTCTCTGGTTAAATTAGATTGATTATACCTGTTTCATGTAAAATATGCTTATATTTATTTTGCCAGAATGCAGTTTTCTTACGGAAAACCATAATATAAAGAAAATATTTGAAATAATATACAAGCTTAGTAACTTGATATAAAGCACAAGTAAATGTCTGTAACCATAAATTCAGTAAAGCTTGTCTTTATAATTTTCCATTACAAATATAATGACACAAAATAAATAAATAAAAGATGCTTAGTTATTTATTCTGTGTCATAAATTCTCAGTAAGTAAGACATGTGGAGGTAAATTTAGTCCTTGGGAAAATAATGTTGTTGTTTTCTTTTCTTTTCTTGTGAGACAAAGTTTTGCTACAAAGCCCAGGTTGGCCTTGAATTCACGGTGCTTCTTCAGCTTCCACTTACCAAGCAAATATTTTCTGTGTTGGTTTGAGTAAGAATGGCTGCAATAGGCTTGTATAATTAAATGTTTAGTCATCTAGGAGTGGTACTTGAGAAGGATTTGGAGATGTAACCTTGTTGGAGAAGGTGTGTCCTTGTAGTGGCCACTAGGGGTGGGCTTTGAGGTTTCAGAACCCCAAGCCAGGCCCAGTGTCATTTTCTCTTCCTGTTGCCTGTGAATCCAGATGTAGTACTTTGAGCTACTACTCCAACACCATGTCAGCTTGTGTGCTGCCATACTCCCGCCATGATGATAATAGACTAAACCTCAGAAACTGTAAGCCAGCCCCAATTAAATACTTTCTTTTATACAAGTTACTACGGTCATGATGTCTCTGCACTGCAATAAAGCCCCAAAATACTACAGTAATAGGGTTGTACCACCAAGCACAGGTTACATTTGTGCATTGTGTGTGTATATGTGTGTTTCCATTCTTCCAACGGGCTATGAGGTTGAACAGGCAGGCCTGGAACTCACAGAGAACCACATTCCTTCCAGCACATTTGTGCTTTTTTTTTTGTTTTGTTTTCTTTTTGGTTTTTGAGACAGGGTTTCTCTGTATAGTCTTGGCTGTCTCACTTCATAGACCAGGCTGGACTTGGACTCAAAGTCACAGAGACCCGCCTTTGCCTCCCAGAGTGCTGGGATTACAGACATCCACCACAGCGCTGGGATTCACATTTGTGCTTTTTAAATAACAAAAATTACTTCAAAATCCTGTATGATTACTTAGATTTTATATACATGCACATGTTTGGTTTAATGCCTTACTTTAGGTATTTTACTAGAATACCTGAAAGTGTAGTATACATTAAGTATATGAAGCAAAAGTCATTAAAAACATGATATAAGGCTGGCCATGTAACTTAGTTGATAATGCGTGAATGCATGAAGCTCTGAGCGGGATCAACAGCATGGTATGGGTGGTGGTACAGACCTGTAATCATAGTACTTAGGAGGTAGATGCAAGGGGAAGTTCCAGGTCATGAGTTTGAGGCCATCCTGGGTTACATGAGACCTCGTCTGGGGAAAAAAAAAAGTTCTATGCTAGTTTATTTTACCTTCTACGGAGGAAATAAAAAGTCATTTTCTGGAAAAAGAAGTTACAAATAGTCTATGTGTTAACAAAAGGAATTAAAGGTTGGCCTATATTTAATAAGAGAATTATATTTGTAGTAAGACAGATTTACTGGCATTGTTAAAACACAAGTAATGCTAATCAACTGCTTCTGCTTTCACTTACCTGCAAAGCTCAAATTTTCCATTCATTTTTCTATTTAGATACCATTATACCACAGAACCACTACTCATTTCTATTTATATTTTTGAACTATAGGGCAAGTAAGATTGCTTTCACTTGCATTTCAAGAAAATATATCTGTTAATATTTCAAGTTACCTCAATAATTTTGGTTTCTCCATTTTCAGCGTTTTCCATGTTGCATTCTTCTTTAACATCATCTGGCTTGGTTTCAGGAATCGTTATGGCACCTGCATCTTTGTTTTCTTCCACAACAACATTGGTTGTTTTCATTTTCTTCTCAACAACACAAATATAATAAAAATACAGAATTTAGTTGCTATGTTGATTAAATAGCTAAAGTTACATTAGCAGCTGATAAAATAATTTACGGAAAGCTTTAACACACTACATATAAATCTGACAGAATAAAATTAACATATAACTCTTACAGTGTTCCTTCTAAAGCAGAATTAAAAATGAATTGTTACCATATAAATGAAAGAAATCTTCTTTCTTGCTAAGCGTAATGAGAAATAACAAGTTAGTGTTCACCAGTGCCCACCAAGGTCCAATTCCCAGCATCAGATTAGACTGATAAATTGAATGTCCTCTTACCAAAAGTCATTTTATTGCTGATAGTCTTATCATTAGCAATAGGGTTGTGTTAATTATAAAGTCTCCATTGGTAGTAATTAAGAGAAATGTCATGCTAGAACATCAATTTAGACACATTTAGAGGAGATCAACATAGGATGCAGCTGTTTTAATCTTTGTCTGTAAGCTACACAGTTCCTTGAACTTTTTTTTGTTTTGTTTTACTATAAGGAAGTTCTTTGCTTCAGTTTATACACAGTAAGATCATTTATTTAAGATGCTGGAAAAGTGAAGATGCCTAGATCTTCACTTATGTAGAGTGATCTTGAGAAAATATATAAATCTCTTTTAGATTGTGATTTCATATATAAAAATATAATACCACTCACTGCAGAGGGACATTATTGAGAAATTGAGAAAACTCATACAGATTGTGTTAGAAATTATATACTGTAACATACGTAAAAGCCACTATTCTGTTAAAAATGAAAAACAGATCTGAGAAAGATAATTAATTTTTAAAGTGCATGCTTCTATAATACCCATCATGGTTTACTCCCAACTGTTTACCCATCCTCCCTCTCAGTACAACCTGCAGAAAAACAGTTCATCAGCTAGCAGCTGCATCAATATATAAATTGACTGATTAAGATAAATAAACAATATTTAAGATCTCTTAATAAGAAATATCAAAAAGCATCTTACAAGAATGACCATAGTTTGCTGTGTCTTCAGAAGTCACAAAATGAGACTAGATGATCTCAAAAATTCATTTCTCCCAGAGGAAAGCTCTAACACAGTTTCCACTACCACAAATTATGCAGTCACATTCCCCATATCTGGGAAAATTTCAGGGGTCAGCACATTTGAAGTGCAATGGATAAGCCTCTCCCTGGGAAAACCACCTTTGTGATCATCGTATCTCCCCGGCCATGTAAGTATTCAAATATTCTTGTGGGATTTTTTTTTTTTTTTTTTTTTTTTGCGGTGGAAAGGAAAAAGGATTCATTTTTAGTCTATCATCTAGGGAAGTCAGGACAGGAACTTGGAGGCAAGTCCTGATGAAGAAGCCATGGAGGAATGCTTCTTACTGGCTTCCTCTCATCAAATATTCTTTATAACTTTAATATTTTCTGATTTTTAATTCAACCAATTTTTAGAAAAAAATATGTATAAAGCAGTTAACAGTTAACTTAATATTGATTTTATTGCTCTTTCAGCTTGTCATTAGGTATAACATCCAAGCACAGAAACCTATATAAAATCAGTTGACTCCATTTAAAGCAGCATAAATGAAAGCACTTCCTGAAGTATTAGCAAATATTAGTTACTACTATTATTATAACACCCTGTTGGGTTACTGCAGTTTAAGACTTTTGTTTTCCCAGGAATATTGGTAAATCTCAATGGCATATACATTTAGTATATGGTCTGCCCACCAACATTTTTATTTTACATTTACAATATTCTGGTTATAACTATCAAATAAAATGCTAAGATAAAGCTACCAGTCACAAAACATGTACAAATATTCACCACCCAGTAGATTATTTGTACTGTATGATACATCATATTTCTGTTCAAGCAAGCTATGAAGAAAACAAAAGGATGAGTTGTGTGTTCTTTTACAATTTATTAAGAAAGCATTTTCTTTAACTTAATTTAATTTAATATTTACCCTTGAAGTTGATGCTCTTTTAGGTTTTAACTCTGGTGTAACAGGCACAGGCATCTGCATCAGAAAATGTCATTATATAAGAAAAGCGCAAGAAGTCATATTTGAAGAAACCACTAACAATGAAATACATGAGTATGACTTTAATTAAGCACTAGGAGAAGAACCCTTTTCTTTAATGTGTAAAACGTCTCCCATAAACCTTCCAAATAAGCCCTGTATTAAGCATAATATTATGCAGACTTCTCCAGTTCTAAAAACTCCACTCCAAGATACACTGGCATCATTTTTCAAAGGCCACTTACAGCAGACAGTCGGGCTGATCTTCTCTTTGGCTGAAAGTGGAAAAAAATAGTCAAAAGAATTATGGTTATACAAATCTACAATTATTTTTACTGAGAAAATCTCTAGTGCAACACTGTGTAAATATTGCTATTAAGGAAGTGATTATAAATCTCGTATAACAATAACATCTAAGCCCCTCCACCTTTTATATGCCAAAGGTAGCAAAATCCCATTACAAGCTTCTTTCACTGAACTAAACCTGCAAAGTGGCTATTGCCAAGGAGCACATTTAAAAATGAAAATATACGTTTCTACACACCAACTGATAAAACAGAATTTGAGCCTAAAAAGGTGCTTTCTGGATCTTAAAGCATAACAAGCAAAGTAAGGTCCTAAATTCAAAAATGTCTGTCATTTTTTATTAGTGTACTTTGAAGAAAGCGTTGGCATACACAAACTGGTACTCACTTGGTAAAAATATAACTATCAGCATTTTATTTTTACCTATTTATGTGTCTTTAGTTTCTAAAATGGTTGCATTTTCCCCCAGAGAAACTTAAAAACTAAAGACACTCACCTCCTGACTCGCATCACCTGCAGCCTAAGTAGAGGGAGAAAATACAAAAAAAGAAATAAGGTCATCAATATAAACGTGTAGAGCAGAAAATGTTGCAGATGGATTATAATTACAACTTTAGACACTTGTGACTTTTTTTTCCTGGGTTCCCGCTCCAGCAGCCACGTGTTGTTTTCTAGCTGCTATTCTACATCTGCTCTTTTAGTAACATGAAACGTGCTCCAAGATGCAAGTTCATGCTCAAGACACATTTACAAAGAATCAGTATAACCTCTTTGTATAAATAACGTCTCTTAAAAACAAATCCTTCTCATTTTGATTTCCACCTGCTCTAATGTTAAAGTCAAAACAAGAGTTGGGGCAGGACGAACGAAGGCGGAGCTTCTTGCAATTTCCCTTTCTTGCCTTATGTTTGCTTTGCAAGTGTGTCTACCTGACCAGCTCTACTGATTATGGACTATTTTCTTCCTCAAGTTCTACTTACAAAAACACCACCACCACCATACTTTCAAGGAAGAACGTCTTTGTTCTAATGTCAACGTTTTGTTTGGAGAAGCAGGCAGCGAATTTTAAAACTTCCCGCCACTACCTGCTACAAGGTTGCTGTCAGCTCTGCAAAACAGCGAGATCCACTGCACAAACAGAAAAGAGACCGGGGGGTGGGGGGAGCCTCAGAAAGTGCAGTGGTGATTAAAAACAATTGCTTTCGGTATCCGAGTAGCCCTTTACACTGGGAATTACCAGGCTTTTATTTAAACGCTTCATACAGCTCCTGAGCACCGAGGCATTTCAGCCTGGTTTCTATGTTCTAGGAATACAGAAGGCGGACGGATTCACAAACACATAAAAAAACAATCATAAGGCTTTTACACTAGCACGATGTTTTACGTTTTCACCGAGCAATGAAACAGCATTCCATCATTCCTTTTTAATTGTAAGACACTTGAGGAGAAACACACACACTGAGCTTCAACTTATTTCCTATCTGCGAGGAGACAGGAATTTTGAAGTGAAGGGTTACAGAGGACCTGTAGACCTTGGTAGCTCAGATCAACTCCCCACGTCTAAAGTGTACAACCCCCCCCCCCAAAAAAAAAAGCAGGCAATAGTTTCTCGGACAGGGCACTCTAATCACCTTTCCACCTTTAACTAGAGAGTTCCTAGAGTGCCAAATCTCTCAGATCTAAAGTTTCTAATTAGAGCGGTGAATCTCTCCCTTCTCTAGGACAGTTTGAAGTCTGCGCCGCCTAATGGCACAGGATTACCATTGCATAGCCATCTGGCATGACAAGAAGTGGAGGAGGGAAGAGGGGGAAAAAAGGAAAAAAGAAAACGGAAAGAACAAAGGCAAAAACAAGAGAAAGCCAGGGCTTTCGTTCTTCCAAACGGGACGGTTCACGAGAAAAGCTGGAGGTAGAGAAGGAAGCTGGCGCTGGAAGTGTGGTTGGGAGAAGAGTTCTCCAATAGGGTAAGCGGAGGAAGGGGGGTGGGGTAGGAAGCGACAGCACAGCGCTATGGCTGTTTGTAATTCAGCATGGAGACACCTCTCAAACGATTCTCTCCCTTAAACAAAACAAGCCAAAAGTGAACTACCAGTTGCATATGAGACCTTCCGAAACCAAGCACAGATGGCTCACTACCTTTCCCTCGCCTTCCTTTCAGAACATCACAAAATCAAACTAGAAACCAAATTGCTGTTTCAAAAAGATAGAAATCTCTGCCATAGGAAATATGTATTTCGGCAGCAAATCTCCCGTCTATCTTCCCATTTCACTTACCTTTCTTTTGGGCATTGTTGCAGCTCTCCGCAGGAGATCCTTAGGCAGGAGGGAAAAAAGCCAAGAGCAGTCTCGGCCTGACCGCTCCGCGAGCGACTGAGTTTTCAATGAACTAATTACAGCACGATATGTACTCGCTCCCCCCTCCTCTTAAAAAAAATCTCTCGTTATTGGCAACATTAAACACGCCAAGACGCAACCAAACTACGTGAATGGTTAGCCGAAGTAGGAGCCAGGTTGGAGTGACAGGCTGTCAGGCCAATGAGGGGAGATGGCCGGTTCGGGAGGCGTGGCCCGCGAACTTGCCCGAAGCCTTCGTAGGCAGCCGGCTTTGAGTGCCTCTAGGGTGCCGGAGTCCACGCACTTAGCAGACGTGATCAGCAGGAAGTCCAATTTTCTTGCCTTTTCACCCTTTTATGCTATAATGACAAGCGAAAGCTCGAACACTTGTTTTGTTTGTTTGTTTTTTCTGCGACCTCCACCCACCCCCTTCCTTCTTCGTGCGAGGTGGTGGGCCCTTTTGAGACTGGTTTGAACCAGAAGCTCTGGTCTTTCCCTGTTGTCAAGAGGGTGAAATTGAAGTGGCAGAAGCACCCATTTAGAGATCAGAAAAAGAGTGGGAACGTTTCTGGTCCTGAGAACTTCCCGCCAAAGCTAAACTGTGGTCCTGGCTTAAGAAGTGAGCCAGAACTGCGCGCCTCCCTTAAGTGGAGAGTAGCAATAAATCTGGGACCTGGAAGAACAGGCCGCCTACCTACTAAAAGAGCCGTTACACCAAAGGAAGAAGAATTGAATGGGGCCACGCGGGGAGTCTATAATAGCAGAGACTTTAATATCAGAGGTCTATCCAGAGGAAAAACACTGACTTTAATGAGTTCGTATTTCAGAATTAATTTGCTATCTTCATTACTGAAACTTGAGGTGTCTCCTTAATTTTTTTATTTTATTTTATTTTTACCCACGGAAGTGTTCCCTAAACCTATTCTAGTCTCAGTGTTTTAAGTAGCAGTTTTCTGTTCTGAGAATCTTCCATTTGTCTTCTAGTGTCAAAGTCTGATACCTAAATGTTTGGGGAAAGTAAAGAATAAGATGCCTGGAAATAATTATGATTAAAACAGCATTGAGGGCTACTACTGGAACTAAGCATGCAGATTCCTGCAGCTCTTTTTTGAGATGTGCTTTGCTTGGGTTGTTGAAAGACCTAATTGTATTAAAAAGTGCTTCAACAACAATTTGCACTCCCTAAGCTGAAAGTCTAATCAACAAGAAAAATTAACTTTTTAAACAGTTACTTAAAAATTTAGGCTCTGGCTTGGTGGTGCACCCCTTTAATCCCAACACCTGGGAGGCAGAAGCAGGCAGATCACTGTGAGATTAAAAACCTTCACTATCTACACAGGAAACAAGCCAGAGCTAACTAGTTCATCCCCTGACTCAATTCTTTTTATGTTCATGTAACTGAAAGAAAAACGAGACCATCTATTTAAAAGAATACTAGCCAGGTTTGGTGGTGGCAATGTAGCCGTGAGATACTGAGATTCAAGTCATTGTAAGGTAAATACACATTATGCCACAAACAAACAAACAAAAAATAAAACCAAACATAACTGCTTTATTATCTACACAATGCCAAACCATCAGTTCATTCTAAAATACACTGAGAAAGAGCCTTTCACTTTTAGATTTGCCTCTTTTTCCATAGCCTGAGGAGTTAAACAAACCACTTACCCTAAGACAAACTGAACCTATTCTCCTAACTTCAGGTTGCATTCTTATTCAAGTAGACAAATCAGAAAGGCGAATTTGCATTTGCTTCCTTTGCCTGCAGTTATGTGTCACCTGACCAGGCTCAAGATGTGTCTTTTAGTTACCTTTAAATGAAAGCATTATTGGAAGAACCTAGGTATGTTTCAGTAATTTACTTTTTCTGAGAGAAAATTGTCTTCAGTATAAGAATTGTCTCATAAGGATAAGGGAAAAATGAAGAGAATGTTAGCACTGGAATGTATTCATTCAAAGTTTCTTATTTACCATTATTTTATAGGTTGGATTATTGTTTTTGTAGACTAGCTTATAAAAATGCAAACCCCTCTGGCATGCAAAGTTGCAGTACACAATTTCTCCCCTTAGGGATTTTTGTAGCTCTGTAGGATTGAGAAAACAGATGCATATGTATGTACAAATCAAAGTTGCATTTATTATATGAACTGTGAAGCTTATATTTAATAATACAGTGAGACTGGGCTGGAAAGGCTGTTTTAAAACTGAGGTATTTGAAGACGGCTTTTGTTGAGTAAGTAGAATCTGGCTCTGAATCCTTCTGGAGATTGTTACACTGTAACAAACACAGAGGCAGACAACATGTGTACTTGTTGAGGGAACAGACTGCCCAGTCCCGGTAAATTGAAACAAATGATGTTGGTATAATGTTCATGTAGAATATATATGATTTACCCTTGTTCATTCAAATGCTGATATCTCTACACCTCTATCTGGTTTCAATCTCGACATTGCATTGTGATTTTTATTCTAAGTATCACCTGTCTCCTTGTGTAAGCAAGCCACCATTTATTCTCTGTAATTGCAATAAAACAACCAGCCATTGCTGTGCAAGGGAGAAAATAGGGTCCAAAGGGGAGGAGAAAGAAGGAGTAGGACAGTGGGAGAGCAGAGATTAGCATGAGAGGACTTGGAACCATGAGGAGAGGTGAATTAGACCTAAGATATGACTAAAAGCAAGTATAATGTTGGAAATTCTGAATGGGAGGAAGCTATGTGGGCTTGGAAGTTTAGGATGGAGTAATCACTGCCCAGCATTGTGCTCTAAATTAACTAAATACATCCTAGATTCTGTGTGGTGATTTGGGTATACAGCTGGTTTAGGAAAAACCGCTGGTTAACTAAAAGTTATATCAATAGTAAATATTAATATTCAACAACAAATTGAGTACCAAGGTGTGGCAGAATTTGCAGTAATCTAGCAAGAATTTACATAGAAAGTAAAATTACAGAACAATTTTTTCAGTTCTGTACCTTAAAAACAAAGTAAAGGGTAGTTCCTAAACTAGGAGCTCACAGCTGGATTAGGTAGATCCCCTGCAGAGCAGCAAGGCCTCCAGCAGGCTATAGAAAAACAAAAGTTGATACATAGAAACTCCAGACACCCGAGTTTCTTTAAGTAGAGAAAAAAGTGGCTCTTTAGTAATGAAGCTTTTCAAAGCCAGACTTTGCTAGCCAAGGCAGAAAACAAAATCCCCTTGAGAAGAGGTTCTTGCAAATCTGAGGAGCAAATATTTGTGGACCCATTAACTTCCAAGAGTGAGGAAGGGGGTCAGGATCCAGTGAGGGAGGCAGAAAATATACTTCTCCCTGGAAGACAGACAGAAAAGCCTGAAGCATCTGAACTAGTAAGGTCTGAAAGGGAAGCAGGGTGTAAGAAAGTAAAGTTCTTAGGGAAAGGTTAAAAAAGATAATTTTCTATGTTGATAATTTTCTATGGAGGAAAACACAATGATACAGTGCTTCTGGATACCATTTGAGTTTGTTTCTCCTAGCATATGAATAAGATTTTCAGTGACAATTTCAGTTTTATATATCCTCTTTGGGAAAGATCAGGATAAGACAGACTTAGAGAAAGAAGAGACTGAGAAAATAGATGCTAAATTAAAGGCCATAGAACAGAGGTTGGGGGGATCTTTGAATCAAAATAGAGAGCCTTCAAAGCAATCCAATCTGGTACTTACAATAACACCCAAAGAGGTTGTTCTAGATGAAAAAAGTCTGCAAAGGCTTAAAGACATTGGAAAATGTCAGCCTACTGAGATGCTGGAGAGAGTCTTCAGCTATAGGCCAACTTGGTCAAACTGGAGATTGTGTGTGTATTGTTAAGGTTCAATGACTACATGAAGGCCTATATGCTAAAGTAGAAATGCAGATCCTGTTTAGTGTTGTCTCGGAACAAGGTCATACAGTGGCTGGTTTGCTCCATTTTACAGAGTTTAGAGAACTGAAACACATGAACCATGCCGTAGATTCATATGCTTCCAGTGGGCTTTTGCCTTAAATTCTGGAGAGCATGATCCTAAGGTTACACATTTGTTAGAGATGGTGAATGTTTTGGAGATGCCCTTGCAAATTGGGGCTGATGGTGCTTCACCATGTATATCCATTGGAATTCAACAATATTTTAGACATGACATGAAACCTATTGTAGATATAACTTATAATCCTACAGGTCAAACACTTTTGAAAATATCTAACAATAATTTAGACGGTCATAAAAGAGAAGGGAAATATATCACCCTAAAATAGATTAAATAATGACTTATCAAATTTAAAATATTTAAATGAGGGGGCTGGAGAACTGGCTCAGCACTAAAGAGCACTGTCTGCTCTTCCCGAGGTCCTGAGTTCAATTTCCAGCAACCACATGGTGGCTCACAACCATCTACACTGGGGTCTGATGCCCTCTTCTAGCATGCAGGTGTACATTCAGAAAGAACACTCATACAACCTCATATACATAAAATAAATAAAATCTTTAAAAATGTTTATATGAGATAAGCACACCTGCTAAGACACAATGGAATTTAGAAAGGACTGCTGAATTAGAGGAGCATATAAATCCCAAAGTGGAGAAGAGGGAATGTGTTACACTGGGGAAGAGGTTTTGCATATGTTCATACAGGAGAAGAGAAATTATGGGTTTCATCAAAACTAATAAAAATCAGATATGACAGAGGAAGACCACCTGGAGATCTTGGCCACACAAAAAGAGAGAAATCAAGAAGACTAAACAGAACAGGTAACATAAATTGATGCTCCCTTCACATGGGAACAACTGTAAAACTGACTGAGACATAAAAAATGTCTCTAGCTAGAACTTCAATGATACATGGCCAGTAAATCCTGGACTATAATATCTTCAAAATTTATTATGCCATTCTTTTAATTGGCATAGATAAAATTGATTTACAGTTTAGTTTTATCCTGCACATCTCACATTTATAATTTTAGTACTTTATAGTGCTTGTGAGAAATTATATGTTTGTAGAACAAAAGCACCAGACACTGGAGATGCTGGATCAAACCTGACAGAAATCATCCTTCCAGCATGCTGAGACACTGACACATCTGTTCCAGGATCTTGCATGTTCCAGCATTTTGCTTGTTCCTGCCTCAACTGCTTCAATTGCTGTT